TTTTTTTTTTTTTTAAAAATTCGTGACAAATCTAAATTTTTTTTAAAGAATTTAAAATTTGTGCAATTTATACGTATTATAAATAATAACTAAATATTAACATATAAAAAAATTATAGCTGTAATTTTTTTTTTTAAAGCTTCATGGGCCGGCCCGTGTCGCTTGACAGTCACACGGGCCGGGCTCGAGCCTTGGATCGATCCACCGAGCCATGAGCCGATCCGACTCAGGCTTTTTTCGGGTCTAGCTCGAGCTGCGCGAGCCATATTGACATGGCTAGATAGGGCCACTTTGGTAGGGTTTCTGCTTCTTGTAGAAGGGTTTTTAGAGGAAGATACTTTAAGTTAGTTTATTCTATAATCTCTTCTAGTCAGAACGAAGCACTTTCAAAAAATTATTCAACCGTGCTAAAATGCAATTTCTTTGTCTCGGACAAAAGTCTTATCAAATGGGCCTGCAAACTTTCAGGGGAAAAAAAGTTGAGTTTTATTTCTAGTTCCATCTTGCATGGTTTACCAAACATGCCAGCTGCCATATTTGGTATGACAGTTAGATGGTGCAATGAATAAGATTTTAATTTATTTTTCATCTTTACTTTTGTGTTCTAGCATATAGCACATCCCACCAAATATTACACAAGATTCAAACTTAAATACTTAAAACTAAGTATTTACAAGAACTATTGATACAAATTTATGCGCTTTATAAATTAATTGTTGGTGATTATTGTGTTTATTCTTTGCTAATATCTTAGTTTTTAGGGGCTATCTTAATATTTTACATAACAAGATCATAAAGAAATGCAATGCAAATTAACCTTACAGAAAACATAAGGAGAAGAAGAAGGATCCAGCAATTCTTCAACATGCCAACCAGGTAAAGTCTCGAATAAATACTCCGATATGCTACTCGTTGATACCGAACCCTCTTGGCTTCCAGATTGATCCGACCCGTTATTATGAACTCTGCAAAGTGTAGTTGAGGTTGATTCTGACGTGTTTACATTAGAATTTGTTTGAAAATTTTTATTGGCATTATTAGATCCAGTATTACTCAAGGATGTGGAAGCCTGATAAGAAGCTGCAAAAGGTGAAAGCTTTATTCCAGTGAGAAGAAATCTATTGTGGTTTTTGGTATATTCATTGGCTTTGTGTATTGGAATGTCACATTCTCTGCACAATAGAGCTCTATCTTCTTGACAAAAAAGTAATGCCCGTCTCTCCTGTAAAAGGGTTCAAGAATATTACTCTCTAATTCTTGAAACTCAACGTTAGAAAATATGGGTCATGGGTCGCCTATGTGATGTGATCCGACCCATAAGATATCAAAAGGGTTGGAGGGAGTGATTTGAATTTCAAATTCAAATCTACAACTCCCCGTAACCTCCCATAAAATCTCCAATTTTTTTCTAGCAACGGAAAGAGAAAATAAGTGAAATTCGTATAGAAAATCACTCAAAAATGGAAAAGTGTATAGAACCACATATATCGCATGAAAACTCACAAAATTAGGCATTTAGATTGTGGATAATAATTAATTTTCATATAATCGGGATTGGAATCACCGGAGAACAAGAGAAAGCATATTTTGGAGTTTTGAAATGGAAGGTGATTTAACCACATAAAGATCTTGAAATTCATCATTTCAAGTAAGAAATTTAACTCGAAATTCATGTTAAAGTATGATTCAAATTACTTCACTCAAAACATATAGTAATTTGATAGTGCCATGTTGGCTAACACCATAATCAGCTTAAACTTTCAGACGATGTGATTTAATAGTAGTGTGTGAATAAAATGTGCAATTTTACCCGGCAAATGTCACAGCGAGGCAAATCTTTGGAGGAAGAATGAAGAAGCGAGAAACGGGGGTGTTTGCTCGCAAGTTTATTGGCACGATGGACTCTACAGTCACAGGCTTGGCAAAGTGCAGCTTCATCTGCTGTGCAGAAAATGTAAGCTTCTTCTTTTCCACAAACATCGCATTGGATCTTCATTTCCCTTGCTGTGTGTAAATGTATTGCAGAGAGAGAGATATATAGAAGAGATTTTGGTAGAATTGGATTGGGAAAAGGACGAAGTTTTATGGGCATGAATGTGTGGGCAGTCAAGTTTTCAGGAGGCTTTAACTCTTCTAGCTGCTGACTGTAAAAGGAAATCTCAGGAAAAGATCTATCTCGTCTACCCATAAAGATTAAAGACTATGGATGGGGGCAACAAGAAGTTGCCTCTATATAGAGGGTATAGCTGTGTGTATAATTTATATATATTTATGAAGCTTTCACAGTCAAATTGGGTTTGTCTGGAACCGACGGCATGGGGTGTCCGGGATAGGAGACTTCTGTTATCTCTATCCATTTATTGATCTAAGCACTCCACTTCGAATCGGTACATACATACCTACGTTTAGGAATGTAAACAAGCTGGCTCGCAAGTCGACGATTACGCCTCGGGTGCAACTCAGGCAAAAAAATGGTTAGGATTTTTTCAGCTCGAGCCGAGCCTAGCCAAGCCAAGCCAAGCTCGATTGAAAAACTGAGGCTTGGCTCGAGCTTTAGGCTCTGGCCTTACCGAGTTGACTTGATTTTTTTTCTAAAGACAAGCGGTATGCAGGCAGTCGGGCCTGTGACACGGACCATTTTTTCCTATGTGGTTTAGCAAGCCACTCAGGCTCGGCCCTCATTCGAAAAGTGGCTCGGCCCGAGTCTTGGCTCGGTTCCATCGAGCCGCGAGCCGAGTCTGTCCGGACTTTTTCCGAGCCGAGTTGTGGGCCGTTCGAGTCGACGAGTCAGATTGACATCCCTACTTACGATGTTCTAAACCTTCATCTAGGGCAAGGAGGGAAAAAAGATGACCAACGTAGTAGTGTTCTAAACATCCAATCTGGAGACAAGGTGGAAAAAAGCGGCCAACATAGTAGCGTTCTAAATGCCCTGTCTAGGGCAGAATGGAAAGGAAGATGGATCATCTAAGTAGTGCCTAGACGGAAAAAGACGCATGCTTTTTTTTTTTCATCTTATTATCTTGTCTTGACATCTAGAGTTGCTTTTTTTTTTTTTCATCTTATATATACATGTATGATTGATCCACTGATACTTAGCTTATGTTAAGCACTCTTGTGACATTGCACGTTACACTATCTCTTATAGTCTGTCACACACACACACGCACATATTATTTTTAATTATTAAACAATTATAGCCCTTGTTGGTCATTATTACTTTCAAAATACATTTTTCTCTCTTATTTTCAACCACATTCTTCAATAAAATAATATTATAAACAAACTCAAAAAAAATTCCTTATTTTTTAACCACACATTCTCCATCAAATAGTTATTTCAAAATACATTTTGGCAAAAGAATGAGGTTCAAAGATGTCCGTAATATTTATGATTTTGAGAACATTTTTTTTTTTTTGAAAAATTTAAAAAGTGTGTATAAAGTTCGTGAAGTTCTTATAGATTTTCAAAGTAGACCTTATTTTATTTATTTATTGATATATAAATAAGAAAATGTCATATTACATCTAAATTCAAAAAATTTAAAACTTGACTTCACGTTTTGTCACGCCTTAACCTTTGAAAACCTTACAATACATACATGGGGGGAGAGTCACAAGCATAAGGCCCAGGTTGGTAGCTTTAGCTCTAAATGTTAGGGATAATTACAGCAAAAGTTCCAAATCTTTAAAACATTCACAGACTTTTCCAAAATCTTTGATTTGTTGCAACCGTCACTCTAATTTTTTGAAACGTTGTAGGTGGGGCCCTTTTGGAAAGTTTCCATCCAAAATATTGTCAGTTGATCCAAAAAATTGATTTTGACAACATTTTAATTAATTTTAAAACGGCAAATGGTAACTATCTATTAATCATATTAAATAATTAATAATAAACAAAAAAAAAAAAGTCAACCCCACCCGAAACCCCAAACCAAAAGCACTTGTTCTCTTCTTGTGCTTCCAAGCATTAAACTCCAGGGGCAGCGGTAGGCGACATCAAAATTGTTCCAAAAATGCTATTCAAGTCCAAGAAATCACGCTCTGTTTCCATATTCAAGACCGACCCGTCTTCCTTCAACTCCCAAACCACGTTGTCTTCCTTTGATGAATCATAATCTGGCGTCAAGAAGTTGATCGGCAGATTAGAAACTCCGACCAACGTTTTGCCTAGTTTATCCTTCGATGAGTTGTCCGAAATCTTTGCCGACGTTTAATTTGAACTAAACGAGCCTTTGAAATGATAAACATGGGAGGGTTGGGAAAAGTGATGAAAGAGGAGTTGAAAACTTTGTTGGAGTTGCATTGGTGCCGAGCCACTGAGCCAAGAGGAGCTGACTATGTTGTTAAACGAAGTGGACAGAGACGGCGATGGATGTATCAAATTGGAAGAGTTCAACACGATTGACTCGGCCTTTGGGGCCCATGATTGGGAAGCCAAGTTGGGGGAGACAATTGACTTCTTTGACTCTGATCGTGATGGGAAGATAGCTGCGAGGGAATTGCTCAACGTTTTAAAAACTATTGAGGACTCGCAGTGCACATTAGAGGACTGTCGGCGCGTGATAAGAGGCGCAAATAGGAATGGGGATGGGTTTTGGTTTGGGGTGGGGTTGACCTTTTTTTATTATTATTTCTTTCCTTTTTTGTTTATTATTTAATTATTTAGTGTGACTGATAGATAGTTACCATTTTGCACTTCTAAAATGGATTAAAATGTGGTCAAAATCAATTTTTGAGTTAATTGAAGTTATTTTGGATGGAAACCGTCCAAAAGGGCAACACCTGCAACATTTCAAAATGTTAGGGGTCGGCTGCAAAAAATCAAAGATTTTGAGAAAGTCTGTCATGTTTTAAAGGTTTGGAGCTTTTGTTGCAATTATCCCAAATGTTCTAATTTCACGATTTAGGAGAGTAGCCATGGGCCACCAAAGCAGGTTGCTTTCACAATTATTTTATATTATATCTTCCAAAAAGTTATTGCTCTGTACTTCCTTTTTGGTCCCCATAGCCGAAAGGTTTAAAATATCAGTACAGCACAACTCACTTTGGTCTAAGCTTTGAGGTTGGTCCTTAAATTCTAAAAATTTTCATTTAATTAAGAAATGTTTACAAGGAAAAATAGAATATATATTAACCAATTGAATATCAGGGCCAACAATAGATTGAATTCGGTGCACAAGGCTCAAACTCGCCTTTGCGGGTTATTGTTGAACTCCACACATTACATTTTGGAAAAAAATCATAAATAAGGTGTATTGTTTACACCAATTCAAAAATAAGGTTTATAGTTTGAAAATTTAAAAATCAGGTTTTTTTTTTAATTCTAATATAATATAATAAACCTACTCCACATGCACCACCCCCTGCTCCG